CACTTTTCCATCTCCGCCAACCTTTACTTCCTTCCACTCCCCATAACGTTTCTGCTGCTGCTGCTGCTCGCTCTTTCCCTTCACCGCACCCCCCTCAATGCCTACCACGTGCGTTCCTCCGTGCATGTGTGAGCAGGTGACGTTTGTCTTCTCCTGTCAGATCCGCGGCATGCTCGCCCCCATCGACTCCGCCCCGCCTCCCTCCACCCGCCCCTCTCACCGCCCGCTCTCTCGCTTGCCCACCCGCCTGCCGCTCCGCCCTGCTGCTGCGGTGGGTGCTGGGATGGCAGCAGCAGGCAGATTGGGGGGAGGGGCACTGGGGGGCCGAGGAAGATTTGGCATGAGAGGTCGAGGGTGGGCAGTAGGAGCGAGGCAGTTAGGGGGCCAGCCAAAAGTCTGTGCAGAGTTGGGGGGAGTGGTGGGGAGAGGAAGAGGAAACAGTGAAGGGAAGAGGGGAGAGGGTTTTTGTGCAGGTGAGGCTGGTGCGGACTTGAAGGAGCATGCCGCTGGCACTGCAGCAGAAAGTAATCTTAGCCCCGATCAGACTCAGGGATGTGCACCAGGTACAGTTAGGAGGCCACGCACAACGAGCACACGAAAGAAAAACACGGTTGTGCCTTCACCAGACGTCCTTGAGATTATTGAGGCCAAGAGAATAAAGACAGGGAGTGATGGTAGTGTCACACTTACCCATTCAAACAATCGAGAGATAGGTGACATTGAGATTGCTTGTCTGAGTCATGGGAGTGATGATTAGTAATTCAAATATACGCCATGTAAGTGCTAATCTCTGTTGTGGGAATGTTTATTGGCCTCACTAGCATGAGGAAGGTTGATTACTTTCTAAAAATCTCCACGTAGTCACGTGAACGTAATGCGTGTGCAATGTCATCAAACCAATGTAACAAATTCTGCAGCTACTGGAAATACTTGGAACAGTTCCTGAGTGAAGCGTCGTGCCGGTTTATCAGCTGACGGGTCCAAAGATGATTGGCCGAATTTATGGTAGCAAAAACTTTTGGTTGGCGAACTTCGGATGCTGTGGAATCAGTTCACCAGAGAAGCAAAACTTCTGGCGACGAAATTGCTCTCGAAAGCCAATGGTCTGTTTGCGAAGTCTCCAGAGCGGGGAAGCTGAGGCTTAGATTTCCCATCGCGACTGTGCGCGAAACTCAAGGCCCAGCTCAGCCAGCTGTTGGTGGCGGGAGCTCTCGTCATTGGAGATGCCTTTTGACAAAGGCTCCGCGCACGCGGATGATTAATGGCGGATTGGATTGTCGTCGTGGCGAATGGGTGCGCTGTGCTGGTGGCGCCAGATTTGACGCGGATCCAACGGGGACTCGCTGAGTGGCACAGCTCACGCTGCGCTTTAGTGATCCAACTTAGTCAGGCATGCCACGTAGACCACCAGAACTTTCCCCGACCAGCCGCCTCGAAGTGATCCATCCTCCGCCTCCTACTCGATTCAACGCCAATCTCCATCCTCCCACCCAAAATCCCCTCCCGTCCCAATCCCAGCCCAACCCCACCAGATCCAAGCAGCCTGCTTGCCTTCCCCTGATTTCCCCCTCTCGCGGCTCGCGCGCGCGGCCTCACCCTGATCAGTGTGTGGCGTGGCGAAGCCCAGCATCCCTTTTATCACCTCCCTCCGACTCCTATGCAATGGTTAGCAGCAAGCCATCAGCGTACTGTCAACACAGAACATTGCATAGCATTAAAAGAATACCTCATAAGGATTGTACGGTTTGCGGTGGCGTTGTGGAGAACGTGAGAGCGCGATCCGGCCGATCTGGTTGATTAGCCTTGGCCAGTCGGCTGAGCTGCCCGCGACGTTGAGCCAAGGACACAGACCGCGCCAGCACGCCATCCCAAAACGTTCTCCGCAAATCCGGCGAGTCCCGGCCATTGGTTTGGAGCGCCAAAAGCGGGCCATTCTCCGTCCCCACCAGGCCGATCCTGCTTGTTCGCTCCCCGCCCTACTGCTTCTCTGGCTCGCTGCTCGCCACTTCCCTTGCTCGCCACCACACGATCATGCGACTAGTATCACAAACGTTGCAGTCGCTGCAAAGCGGCGTGCGACGCCACCTCTCCAGAAATTCCCTCGCCAGACCCACCCATCGCCAGCCGCCGTCGTGCCTCGCCGCCCTCCGCCCTCTCTCCTCCAACCTCTCCCTTACTGATCATCGACCACAGCGCGCTAATGCTCGTCTCATTCCCGCGGCGCAGCTGGCCCATCACGTGTGTCCTGTAGACGCGGCAACCCATCGCGCGCGCTGCTCGCGGGGACCAGTCGACGCGTGCGCGGGCGTGCTCGGCGCTGGCGCTTTAGTAGTTGCTGCTCGGGGCTTCAGCGGTCGGTGTTGGCCTTTCATTGCGCCGTGTGGAGCGGCGGATCTAAATGGCGCCTTGTGCGCAGAGCGCGGGAGCGCGGCGTTGCGCCAAGCCTGCACCCGCTGTCGGCCCCGCACACGGCGGCCACACTCCCACCGCCTCCACGTGCAGGCGGTGGCGGTGGAGCGGAGAGCGCCAGCGGCGGGGGCGACCGATAGCGGGCTGCACTGGGCAGTGGCGGGAGGCAGGAGCGGCGGGTTGGGGTCGGGTGCAGGACGGAGCGGACGGCGGGATGGCGGCGTGAGCAGCGGGCGGAGCGGAAAGCGCAGGGAGCGTTTGCCGTTCCTGTCGCCGCCTCGAGACGACGACGCGAGGGCTGGCGACAATACCGACCTTCGCAAACAAATCGTTCAGTCGGCGCCGCGTGCGACAGTGGACGAGTTGGCGTCGGCTTCCCAGGTGAGCGCGCGGGTGGTAAGGGTTGGGGATATAACAGTCAATGTGTGTTTCGTGATCAAGCAGCCATGTGTCACCCGGGGGATAAGTAGCAATCGGAAAGACGAGAACGGAGAATCGTGGCTTCCATTACAGTAATGGGGATAATCGCGAACCGTGGCAACGTGACACACATGATGCGCGAGTGCGCGTCGCAGATGTTCGCACATCCTCACCGTCACGCCCCTCGTTCCCTCCCCTCGTCTTCCCATCTGTTGCGCCCGCTTTCCCCCACCATCCCGCCTGACTAACCCGGCGCGGGCGCAGATGGCGCGGCTGTCGGCGCTAGTGTACCACCGCGACCCCGCGCCGCACGTGAGCGCCTTGGGGTTGACGCTGCGCGCGTGCCAGCAGACGCCCTTCACGGCGTACATGGTCGTCGACTCGCCGCCGTGCCCGCGCGAGGGCGGGCGCACGCGCTACGTGATAGCGCGCGGCGTGGCGGTGGACCGCAGCGAGGTGCACCTGGGGCGGCTGTGGCGGCAGCTGCTGCAGGTGCGCCCCGTGCACCTGGAGCGCGCGCTGACGCCGCCGGGCGTGGAGGTGCTGGTGCATGGCGGCGTGCACGCCATCGCGGAGGACGTGTACCGCGGCGTGCTGCCGCTGCTCGCCGCTGACATGCGCCGCGAGGGCATCACCCACCTGCGCTTCGGAGGGCACTCGCTGGGCGGGTCGCTGGCGCTGCTGCTCATGCTCATGTTCCACCTGCGCTCGCCCAACACGCGCGCAGACGCCTCGCCCCTCCACCTCTCCGCGCACACCTTCGGCTCCTTCCCTGTCCTCGCGTCGCTCTCCTCCTCGCCCTCCCCCTCCGCCCCGCACAGCCTCTCCCACCAGTTTGCCCACTCGTCGGGCGACCTCTCCCGCCTCCTCGCCTCTGCACACGCGCACCCCTCCTCCCCCTTGCTGCACCATGCTGCCGGCCGCCCTGCCGCCACCGCTCACACCACCGCCTCATGGCCCCACACAGCTTCGCCCCATCTGCATGCCCCTCCCCCCGGCCTCCTCTCCTTCCCTCATGCACCGCTGCTCCACCCCTCCTCGCCGTTCAGCAGCAGCAGCAGCAGCAGCAGGGGTGCAGCGCGGTGCAGTGTGCTGGCGAGTCTGGGCCTGCCAAGCGAAGCAGCGAGGGCGTTTGTGTTGGACCGAGACATCATCCCGCGCGCCTTCCTGCTCGCCCACCCCCTCTGTTCCGCCTTTGCCCGCACTCCCCTGCTGCGCTCGCTGCTGGGCCTGCACCCCTCCACCAGCGCCCCACCGCTCTCCACGGGGCTGTCCTGGGACCCGCTGGCCTTCCAAGCAGTGGGCCTCGTGCACTACATGCAGGCAACAGGTGCGCTGCACTCACACATCACATGCACCACACACTCGTCATGCCCATCGTCTTTCATCGCACACACACCAGTCGCGTCATTACAATATCTGCTAGTCATCTGCTGTAACCACAATGTGTGATCCCCCATCCCCCCTCCCATTCCCTGCCCTCTGCTGCCTGACGTGCATGGGTGTGTGGGCTGCAGGGTCGGAGTCGATGGTGGCGAGCCTGCCGCCAGCGCTGGCGGAGAAGGCGCTGGCGATGGGCGTGGGGGAGCTGGTGCGCGACCCGCTCATGCTGGCGCGCTCCATCCGCGACCACTGCTTCAACCACTACGTGCACTTCCTTGACTCTGCGCTGCATGCTGCCCGCCATACCACACTCGACTGATGTGTGCGCTCACTGGCTTGTATTTATGGACGCGGTGGTGCATGAGGGCTCCCTTCTAGGTGGGAGAGAATTTTGTGTTGCATTGCACTAACCTCAAGGCTTTTGCACAAGATACATACACATTTGGTCGAAACTCTGCAAGGAGTTGAAATATGCTTTATTCAGATCCATTAACTTGCAGTTTAGCTTGCCAGTCACTTGATTTTCCACATAATACGGTATGCCAGCAAGCAAACTGGATACTGTGTTTGGCAACTGCATCCAGTTTATCAGCCCAGAAATTACAGGGTGAAGCTAAAATCTTACCGAGAGAAGTTTTGGCGAGGGTACCATCAGCCCCAAAATTAGTTTGGTCGTTCTCGCAAGGAATCTGGCAGCGCTACCGAAATGCATGCGAAGCGAACGCCGGAACAGATTGCCTCAGTTGGCGAAAAAAGGCCACTTGCTTGCCTTATGGAGAAGGCCAGTGGCCAGCACCGATGCAACCAATTGCGAGCGTCGTTGAGTTGGCCTCGGCGACACCGTGAGTGTGGGGTTATGCTAGACAACAGGGTGAATCGCCCGTTCCAAAAAGTCTACAGTGCACGTAATGTAAAGATTCCTGGACAAGAGAGTGGCACGGTGTGCGTGGTAGGTGTGATCCATGTGCTCCAGATCCCCCACGCGCGCCCATTTGGGTGAAATGGGTTGGAAGTGAAGGCTGCTGGCGATCGACACTGGAACTGCCCGAACTGAAATTCGGGAAAACATGAGTCCCGACTCCCGGATGTGGGGCTGTTTGGCTGGAGGCAGGCCCAACTCGTCGTGGGCAGCTCTCATCGACCCACGCCCCACAATACAAGAGGTGAGTCGAGAGCAATGGGCGCTTAGAACCAAATACTCCACCGCGCTGCCCTGTGGACGCAGCAACACAAGCACGCTGATGAACTGCATCCACCAACCGCCTAGTAGCTGCCTCTACACACCGTTGTAGAACGTCCCCCTCCCTTCCCCGAGCCATGGCGACCGCCGTTGACGACGACTACGTTGGATTGAGACCGCACCGGCATTTTGCTTTCGCGCATGGATGGATTTTCAGCAGCAGCGAGCGAGTTACACGAGAAATCATGGATCGGCTCTGGCACGATCGCACGGGATGGGCCTCCTCAGACCCGGCGACAGCCATGCAGGTTCGATGTTCGAGACACCGAACGCTCTTGTCCGTGCTGGTGACATCGTGATTGTCTAAAGCGAGAAGGCCACGTGGAACACCACACGAGCACTCCCCTCATGCCGCCTTCCTGTGCGCTGCGGCTCCCATATCTCTCTCCCGCCTCTCCCCTTTCGCGCATCTGTCGCAGGACAGTGTCGCCCAAAAGTCGAAAGACGGTGCCGTTGCATGCTTGGATGACGGCGAGCAGGCGCCGCCTGGCAAGGCGGCGATATCGGCGGCCCGCGATGGGCCTGGCGCGCCTGCTGTCGCCACGAATAACGGGGCGGAGGCACCACCTCGCGCGCTGTTTCATCCGATCAAGGTGGGCCGTCTGGGTTTCTTATCACCCTTTGCTCAGTCCTTTCGCTGAATCGCGCACGTCGATTCCCCGTTCACGTATCATGCCCCGTCCTGCCGTTCTGCCGACGTCAGCCCTCTCATCTCTCGGTGCGCTCCTCGCGTCGCAGGTGGACGACATGCACGCGGAGATGGACCGCCTGCGACTCGAGCTGTGGGCGGCGCGCATAGAGTGCAGCGAGCTAAGGGGTCAACTAGAGGTGCGTCAGAGGCAGCGCTGCCGTGCTGTGCGGTGCAGTCCTTGGTTGGTCCCGCCGTGATCATTACGCCAGTGACTGCCTTTCGTCCTCCCGCCTCGCCCCTCCGCCAGTCCCTTGTAGCCCTCTCCACCCCTCCTCCCCATCCTCCCCACCTGCCTGCCTCCCATCCCTCCGCGGCGCGGGGCGTGCAGGCGCGGTCGGAGCGCGCGCTGGAGGAGGAGCGCCTGGCGGGCGCGAGGAGCGCGCGGGAAGAGGCGCAGCGGCAGGTGGAGGAGGCGAGGGGCGAGGCGGCGGCGGCGAGGCGCGAGGCGGAGCGGGCGAGGCGGTACCACGAGGAGGAGGTGGCCGTGCTGCTCGGCGCGCACCGCGACAAGGAGGCGCTCTGGCAGCGCAAGGTAGCCGCGGGGGGCAAGGTAGCCGCATGGGGGGGAAAGGTAGCCGCATAGGGGGAAAGGTAGCACAAGGGGGGGAAAGGTAGCCGGGGGAAGGTAGCTGCATGGGGGAAGGTACACGGGGAGGGGGAGGGATGAAAGGGGGAGTCTTCCGCAGGGAGCAAGGTAGCAGAGCCCGTGACTTGGTGAGCGTGGAGTGGGGGGGTGGTGGGTGCAGCATGGCAGGGGTCGCGCCGCAGCACCCATGTGCAAGCAGAGGCGGCATGCATGCGTGACGCGCAGTCCCTCCCAGCGCATCCCCGCGCGCTGTTCCTCTTCCCCCCTTGCCTCTTCACATGCGCCTCGCGGTCCCCTCGCTGCCCCGTGCGTTATTTCTCTTGCCCTATGTGCGTCCATCCCCCTGACTAAAGCGTCCATTCCCCCGTGCATGTGTGCGCCCATCCCCATGTCTGTCTGTGTACGCCCACCCCCGTGCGTGTGCGCCAACCCCCGTGCGTGTGCGCCCACCCCCCTGTGTGTGCTTCCATCCCCGTGCGTGTGGCGGGCAGGAGGTGGAGTTGGAGCACGAGCTGCGCCACCTGCGCCACCGACTGGCCGACGCACGCAACGGTCAGTGCCTCCACCCTCACCTGCGCCATGCCTTGCCTTCTCACCCGCCCACCACTCGCACCTTGCCCGCCTTGACTAATGCTCATCCCCCCCACGGCCGCTCTTCCCCCTCCGCTCCCCCGCGTGCATCATCCGTGCAGCGCTGAGTGTGGCGGAGGCGTGTGCGCAGGGCGCGCGGGAGGAGGGCAGTAGCGCCGTGGCTGTGCTGCGCGGGCAGCTGGCGGGGGCGCTGCGGGCGGCGGCGGAGAGGGAGAGGGAGCAGGAGGAGGCGATGCAGCGCGTGGACGGCGAGCTGGCGCGCCTGCAGGGGCACGCGGACGCCGCTGCGCAGCGCGAGGAGCTGGCGGCCGCGCTGATCGACCGCCTGCACGCCGACAACGAGGCGCTCAGGGGCGCGCTGCTCGCCGCACAGGAGGGCGCGCATGGCAGCACGGCGGCGGGCAGGGGGCGCGTGGAGCAGGAATGCAGCAGATTGCAGGTTCGCAGCAAAGGAAGAGGGTGGAGTTGTTGGTGAAGGGAAGTCAGTGCAGCGGGTTCCAGGAGGAGTGGTGCGGCGAGATATGCTTCAACCCAAGGAGTCTCAAGCCCCACATCCTGACGGCGCTCGTGACGGCTGTGGTGGCGGTGGTGGTGCTGCAGAGGATGCAGATGAAGCAAGGCGTGCGCGTGACGAGCGGGGTGGAGCCAGTGGGGTGCACGGTGGGCAGCCTGCAGCCTGTGCGCGGGGGTCAAGGGGAGCAGGGGGGTCAAGGGGAGCAGGGCGCGCAGAGATGCAGGCGGGCAGCAGGGAATGGGGGGAGGGGGGTGCGCATGGTGGTGCATTTGAAGGGAGAGCGTGGGCGAGTGCGGTGGGCGGGGAAGAGCCTGAGGGCCCACCGGAGCAGTGGCACGAGAGTGGTGGCAGTGAGCAGCGTGCTGCAGACGCTGACAGCGCGTGCGGCGTGGAGGAGCGGCGTGGCGGCGAGTACGAGTCAGCGTTCACGCTGCCGGTGCCCCGGCAGGGCGCGTGGAGTCGTGCCAAGCAGGCGGTGGCGCAGTACTATGGGGGGAGCGCAGGCGAGGAGGGCGAGCAGGAGCAGCGCGAGGGGGAGCTGGAGGAGGTGCTGGAGGAGAACGCGCGGCTGGAGGAGCAGGTGCGCGCGCTGCAGGCGCAGGTGGGCAAGGCTCAGCGCGTGGTGGCATGGCAGGGGCGGCTGCGGCAGCGCGTGCTGCAGCTGCGCGTGTGTCTGGAGCTGACGAGCAAGGTGGTGGACGTGAAGGACCGCGCCCTCGAGCTCGCCGTGCACCGCGCCCGCGCCGCTGAGGCCCGCTGCTCCCACCTCGACCGCCGCCTGCACCTCCTGCTGCCCGCCGCGAGCTCTGCTGCCGCCGCTGGCCTGGGCGAGCACGGCAGCTCCCAAGCTGCCAGGGGGGCAGACGGCTGTGGGGACATGGCGGGGACTGGGCTGCAGGGAAAATGTGCAGTGGCGGAGATTGAGGCTGTGGGCGAGGATGCGGCAGGGGTGCAGCACGGAGGAGAGGCAGGTGCAGCGTCAAGGCATGAGGAGGGGGGCGCCCAGGAGGAGGGCAGCCCGGATGGTGCTGAGGAGGGGGCGGGCGCAGCAGCGGTGGAGGCGCGTGGTGAGCAGCACGTGGTGGCAACGGTGTCCACCAGCAGCTCAGGGCGGGCCGGCATGCGTCGCAGGACCAGGAGCAGGGGCCGCGTGCAAGGCGGCAGTGAGGCGAGTGGAGAGGAAGAGGAGTGGCCGGCGGTGGGGCTGAAGGAGCTGCAGGCGAGGCGGGACGTGCTGCTGATTGCCATGCACGGGCTGAGGGAGCGCGCAGCACTGGCTGCGGAGATGGGGCTGCGAGCGGCAGCGGTGATGGGGCGGCAGGGCAAGGACAAGCGTGCAGAGGTGAGCGAGATGCTGGCAGCCGTGGAGGGCGAGGCTGACGAGGTGCGTGTGCTGATTGAACGCACAGAGAGGGTGGTGGCCCGCATGGCAGCACTGGAGCGAAGGGGGAAGGTCCTGGAACGCAAGATGGAGAGCAAGCGGGTCAAACTAGTCCATTTGGAGAATAAGTTCCACCTGGCTCCCAAGCCAGCTGGTGTTAAGTTGACCTGCTTCTCGTGGAGGCTGAGATTCATATAGCCACATATTGTCTGATCTTATGTCAAATGCATTCACTATTGCTCAAGCCGTTCTAAGAAACCTTCTGTACGATGCCCAAACATTCAGTATAAAGCATCTTGTTAGACAGTATGGTGGGTCAAAGCTACTGCTCATGTACAGAATGAATTATGCTGTCGAATGGCTAGAACCGGTAATCATTTGACGTACGGTACTTATGACACCTGCATTACCACATCATACAAAGTATTGTGTTTCCTAGCTATAACAAAGCATTAGGTTATTTAGAACCAAATTGTGGACACTCTGTTGTGGGTCAGCCCACATGCACAGTGTAAACTGACACATCTGACGCATTTGCGAAAGTCCGTTGGAGTGGATTGGTTCGCGCGGTGGTGGCGGGCCTCGCGCCGCTTCGATGGGGGACTGTCCCACCCTGGGCGGGTCGCGAAGCAGACGCGAATGCGATGCGTTGCGAAGTGACGGGATTCCGCAGGCAGGGCAGCCGGGATGGAAGAATTTTGGAGGAACCGACTGCCTGCGCTCACTCGCTCTTGGTTGAATGGTAGCCGAAGGAACAGCTCCCCCATCACAGCAAGGCCAACATGCCACTGCACCAACACCCCCTTTAGTATCATCTCTTGCTTTCTGCTCCCTCTCCCTTTGCCTCTCTGCACAACCTCTTCGCCTTTGCCCTGTGCAACACCTTTGCGATTGCGGCTAATCCACTAAGAGGACGATAACCTTTCTAGGTCGTTTGGTGTGGGTACCTCGTCGTGTAACGCAGTCGAGTCGTGCAGCGGGGTAGGGACACGGTACCGACACTAGCGAGCGTAGGGTCGGACGGGTGGCGCAGAGCGAGCAACGCGGTGGATGACGATAGGCGGAGTATGGACGCGAGGATGTGTGCGGCTCGTTGTGCTTCTCTGCGGTGAGGCTGCGCGTGCATGGCACCAGCAGCGCCACAGCGTGCAGTGTCCACGTTGCCAAGCCCTCAATTTTGCAATCGTTAATACGTCAGAGAGATTGCTTCTAGCTCCCGTCGCTGTCGCTGTGGCTCACGCGTGCCTTGCTTGCTGCCCACCAGGAACCATGGCAGCCTCCGCGCTGCCTGCTCACGTCACGCGCTTCGAGTCCGTGCCAGGGCTTGCAAGCTGGAATGCCGCCATGCGTATGGAAAACATATCGAGGGTGTCCACGTGGCAGGATGACCTGGACCGCCTGCCGCCCCTTAATTCCACCAATCGCCGTCGACTCGCTGGTAAGCGACCGCGCTTGAACGTTTTGCCTTCCCGATCCGCGCTACGCGCATCCGTTTCGCCCCAACCACTCCCAATAGCTGCGCTTCTCCGTCCCCTCTGTGCCTTGCTGCACAGACCCGTACCCCCTGTGCCTTGCAAGGCATCCCCGTCCCCACTGTACCTTGATGCGCGTCCCCGTCCCGCCTGTGCCGTGCTGCGCTTTCTGCTCCCCTGTTCCTCTCCCTCCCTTGTCGCGCTTTCCGCGTGCCTTAGTGGGCTCTCACGCTGCCCCTGCGTCCCCACCAGGTGGGCGCCTGCTGTATTACTGCCGCTTCCCGCTGCACCGCTATGCAGCCCCCGCAGATAGCGTGACCCATAATCAATCATCCCATTCAATGATCTCTCTCCTTGTCTCGTACCGCACGACTCTCTGCTTGTGCGCCTGCAACGCGGTTGCGACGTGGGGGGTGCGTGTTTGTCGCATGGTGCGCAGCGTGCGACTACACGGTGGGGCGGTGGGTGTACGACGCGCGGCGGCGGTCGTACAGCAGCAAGTGCGCGTGGATCCGCTCGGCCTTCAACTGCGAGCGGAACGGCCGGCGCGACACGGGGTACACCAGGTACACGTGGAAGCCGAGCGCGTGCACCATCCGACGCTTCGACCGCGCCTACTTCAAAGCCCTGCTCCGCAACAAGGTCAGCCGCCTCGCCGCATCATGCGCTCCCGCGTTCACCCTACCAATTCACTTGACCCCCCTTGCCCTGGCCTTTTCTCCCCTCCTCTCCCTGTTGGCCCTGCTTCCCCCGCCTGCCTGTCACAAACCCTATGTGCCGCGTCTGATGTGCGTCCTCCGTGCGTGCGTGTGCACGAGCAGGTGGTGGCGTTTGTGGGCGACTCGTTTTCGCGCAACCTGCAACAGGCCATCGCGTGCGAGCTGGGCGTGGACGACCACGTGGAGCCGTGGTCGGGGTGGCTGGGCGGCACGCTCGTGTCGGGGCTGGCCGTGCCGCGCTACAACCTGAAGCTGGTGGCCGTGGTGGCGCCGTACCTGGTGCGCTACAGCAACCAGGACTGGGCGTTCAGGCAGTACGGGCTGCGGCCGGGCGACGGCAGCCGCTACGTGGTGTGGCTGGACCACATGGACGACCAGTGGGCGGCCGTGCTGCAGCACGTGGACCTGGCTGTCTTCATGTCGGGCCACTGGTTCCTGGACAAGCAGGGCGCTGAGGCCGTGCGCTCCACCGTCTATGTGGCCAACAACCGGGTGGTGCGCTTGAGCGGCATGAGCGCGTACCGCGCCGCCATCCGCAGTGTGAAGCGGTTCGTGACCGTGGAGCAAAGGTACCGTGGCGTGCCCATGTGGCTCACCTACTCCCCCTCCCACTACTCGAGAGGTAACCCCCCCACGTGCCGCCACACCACACCCATATCTACGAAGAGAGTTCAAGCCATGGTGGCCCATGACATCTCCACAGCCTTCAGACGGCTGGAGGTGAGGGAGCTGAAAAAGTCGCCGTTTCGAATAATCGACATCACCCGCATTTCCCTCTTCCGCCCAGATGCGCATGTAAAGCGTTTTTATGGAGCCAAGACAAACAGCAAAACAAAGTGGGACTGCACCCACTGGTGTTTACCTGGTCTTCCAGACGTCTGGGCCGACATATTCCAGTTTGTTCTCAAAACGCAATTGAGACGACACAAGAAGTAACTTAACCATCCATTTGTTCGATTTTAGGATGTTGAGACTTGTACTGTGTCGGTAATTGGCGATGTCCACTGATCATGGGCAGTTACGGTGTATTGTAGTCTCGAACTCTTACGGCACTACCAATTGTGATGTGACATTGTACGCCAGCAAAAGCTACCAAAATGCAGGAAACATTTCAGAGAGGTTGCTAGGAAGCCATACCAGGGTGGCCTTTTCTTGTTTCATTATTACGGTAACGGGCACGAGTGGGAAAAGGTAAACCAGTGAGGGAAGTTCGAGCTGAGTAACAATGAAAGCACCTTCTGTTGATGTTTGAATACCGGTACCGTACTACCGTATGTTGAAATGAGCTCGCTTACTCTTTTTTTTTAAGAAGACTCTACATGTGGAACAAACAAGACGGGGAGGTGAAAGAGAGGGACGCGGAAAATAGGACAGGAGGTATCACATGACCTTGCCAGCACCACCCCGAGCTCCGCCGCCGGCTGTTCGTCCCAAAGCTTATGTAGGAAGGGGGGTTGGGGGAGGGGGAGGAAGAAACCGGAGATCGGAATGGGGAAGGCGGAAGCAGAAAGCGCTATGATAGTGCCGAGGCCATCGCTCACCTTTTGCCAAAACCCAAGGGAGTGAGAGAGAGGCAAGCGGGGGGGGATGGGGGGGAGATGATGGGAAGGGGGTAAGGAAAAGGCACAATTGGGAATGTACAGGCAGAATGTGGGAAGCCGTATGGAAATGCTCAGCTCAGCGCAAGGCCCTATAAGCACCCTTTTGCACCTCATCACCCCATCGTCATGGATACTGGAGCACACATGGGCTTGGGTGGGTGGGGAGGGGGATCCTGATAGTGGCCAGATGAAAGGGATGGGGTGAATGGGACCATGGTTGGTGTGGATTAAAAATGAGAGACAAAGTGCGTGGTGAGAGTTTGCGACCACAACCATGCTCGAAACATGTGCGCATACCGACCATGCTTTACCGTCATCGCCCGGATATAAGACATATATGTCTTATCTCGTACACGGGCAAAAATGCTTGAGTTATCTTGTAAACGGGATGGTTTAGGGTGTCTTATAAATCTTATAAATGGACAAAGAACCGTTTAGAAGATACCCCCTCGCTATACATTTGCCCCTAACTCCTACACTTTCTTAACCCGTACACACAAATAGGTGTCTTATAATGAGGCTAGCCTGTTTATAAGAGACACCCGTATAATAGACAACCCCTGTCTACTATTCAACACTGTCTTATATCCGGGTGATGACGGTACTTTGACTAGCCATACGAACTGGATGCCCTGTGTATTAGGTTAATTATCCAGATTAGACTATTTTATACCTACTTGCAGGGCCTCAGATTCACTTTTAGGGACGTTTAAGCATCAGGGTCCCTATGTGAAAAAGGCTGAAAATAAGTGTTACTAAAACAAAAAAGTCTGAATTTTCAGGGTGTCCTAAAAATAGAGCCTGATATAAAAACTCGAACCGGAGACCTCACCCTTCAAGGGCGCATTCACAAACAACTGAGCCAGCTCAGGCTATCGACTTCGGAACTTGTTTGGTAAAATATTAAACAGATGGTTCACAACTAGAAATCTCGGGTGTGTTACAGCAGGGATTCGAAATGTGCATTCAGTGTACACTTCGATAAAAGGCTGGAAAATCAGTCCCCTTTGGGGAAAAAGGCTGAAAAATCAGTCTCTCTAAAATCTGAACTCTGGAAAATCAGTGTAGGTACAAAAATTTACCCTGAAAATCAGGAATTTCAGGGTTTTTTTTCCTGTAATTCCATTTCATTCCATATGTTTTACAAGATGTGGGCGTTTCAACTTTGCATGGTATGCCCCCTTCGTGTGCGCACACCGACCATCCTGATCAATGCATCACTTTGATCGGCCATACGAACTGGATGCCTTTTGTATTAGGTTAGTTCACTAGACATTTTTTTTTTCTACCTACGTGCCATGTGATTCCATTTCATTACATATACCATTTTGCAAGATATGGGCATCGCACGTTCCGAGCGTTCCGAGCGTTCCACGTGGTTGCGCTTGTCTGGTCCTATTGCCAAGCCAGCAAGGGCGTGGGAGTGTTGCGAGCATCATCGGTCATCGGCGCTCGCGAATGAAGAGCGCCCGCTGCACTTCGTGCACATGTGCAGATCCTTCCGCGTTTTGGGGGTAGAAGCGCTCATTCCAAGCGTTTTTCTTCCGCCGGGTCACATGGCTGCGCTTGGTTCTTGTCGCGGCGGGCTCGTTTGAAGTTATTAGGAGCTGGAAACTAACCGCACGGTACTTAGGGTTGTGGCAAAGATGATCGTGCATGGCGGTCCAGGATTTGAACAACTTCGCTTCACATTTTATACCGATATGGATTTTGTAGCTTTCTGGCCTCACGAACGCCCTTATAGGGGGGGCGGTACTTGTCGCGGCGGGCTCGTCTGAAGTTAATAGAAGCTGAAAACTGAATGGAGTGTACTTCGGACTGTGGCAAAGATGATCGTGCATGGCAGCCCAAGATTTGAACAACTTCGCTTCACATTTTATACCGGTGCGGATTTCGTAGCTTTCTGGCCTCACGAACGCCCTTATAGGGGGGGCGGTACTTGTCAAGGCGGGCTCGTCTGAAGTTATAAGGAGCTGGAAACTGACCGCAGGGTACTTAAGACTGTGGCAAAGATGATCGTGCATGGCGGTCCAGGATTTGAACAACTTCGCTTCACATTTTATACCGGTGCGGATTTCGTAGCTTTCTGGCCTCACGAACGCCCTTATAAGGGGGGCGATTCTTGTCGCGGCGGGCTCGTTTGAAGTTATTAGGAGCTGGAATCTAACCGCAGGGTACTTAGGACTGTGGCAAAGATGATCGTGCATGGCGATCCCGGATTTGAACAACTTCGCTTCACATTTTATACCGGTACGGATTTCGTTGCTTTCTGGCCTCACGAACGCCCTTATAGGGGGGGCGGTACTTGTCGCGGCGGGCTCGTCTGAAGTTATTAGGAGCTGGAAACTGACCGCAGGGTATTTAGGACTGTGTCAAAGATGATCGTGCATGGCGGTCCAGGATTTGAACAACTTCGCTTCACATTTTATACCGGTGCGGGTTTCGTAGCTTTCTGGCCTCACGAACGCCCTTATAGAGGGGGCTGTCAAACATTGTATGTTTATATTGTGTAGGCTGTAGTGGGTTACACCTTAGGGGGTACACAAAGTTAGGGTTTCCTACTTGTACCAAACTCTGTGCTAGTTCAATTCATTCCTGCTCAGTTATTTCTGACATGGTTTCAGAGCAGGTCCTTCGCTAGGACTGTTCTTAGGGCCCACCGACTTACCTACCTGCTTACCTTCGCTTGTTTCCGGCCCCGCTGGCCCCGTCGATCTAGCGGCCCTGCGGCCCCTTCGAATTTTTTTTTTTTAGCGGCCTCTCACGGCCCCCGTCGCGTCGCCCCTTAGCGCCCCGATCGGCCCCGTCACGCCGCCCGCGAACCGCACAGCGCGCCGCGCTCACAGCCCGCGAACCGCCTGCGCAGCCCGCGACCAGCCCGCGCAGCCCGCGCACAGCCCGCGAACTGCCCGCGAGCAGCCCGCGACCTGCCCGCGAACCCCCGCGAGCCGCCCGCGACCCGCTTACGCAGCCCGCGAGCAGCCCGCGCAGCCCGCGCTGAGCCTGCGCGGCTCTTGCGCTGACCGCCGCCGGCCCGCACGCTGCCCGCGCAGCTCACATACGGCCCGCACGGCCCGCGCGCTGCCTGCTCCCGGCCCGCCGCTGCTGAGCCCGCAGCCGCCCGCGCACCGCTGCTGCTGAGCCCGCCGCCGCCCGCGCACCGCCGCTGCTGCGCCCGCCGCCGCCCGCGTATCACCGCTGCTGAGCCCGCCCCTGCTGCGCCGGCTCTCGCTGCCGCCTGCTGCGCCTGTGCACCACTGCAGATCCTACTACTACACTTCCTGCTACTGCTGCTTGTGCGCCACTACAGTCCGTAGGCCCCACCGGCCCCGCTGACCCTGCGCACGCCTTTTCAGTGACTTTACTGCTTCTACTACTGCCGCTGTCGCTATGGCTAGTCCTCCTGTTCTAGCTTTCGACGCCGAGGGCCGTCCAGTGAAGTTCGAAACCTGGCTAGATGACCTGCACCTTTTCCTACAGCTCACTGCCAAGGAAGATATTACACTGTACGACCACGCTCTCGGCCATGCGACCGCCCCACTCGCTACTGCCCCCCCAGCTGAGCGCTCACAGTGGCAGACCCGTGACGCGCACGCTCGCTTTGCTATTCGCAACTCCCTGCCGCTAGATGAGCGCGAGCACTTCGGCCAGTGCAAGACTGCTAAGGACCTCTACACAGCTGTAGTGGCCCGCTACTCCTCACCCGCTTCTGCCACGCTAGGCCGCCTCACTCTCCCCTACCTGTTCCCCGACCTAGCCTCCTTTCACACTGTCGCAGACCTCATCACCCACCTTAAGACTAGTGAGGCTCGCTTTCGCGCTGCCATGCCTGACGAGTTCCTCGCTAGCAACCCCCCCCCGCTCTGGATCACTCTCTACCACGTTGTCACCCGCCTCCCTGACTCTCTGCGCCCTGTCAGGGACCAGTTCCTCTCTCGCTCCCCCACTGAGCTCACCGTAGACCTCCTCGAGAAGGAACTGCTTGCAGCCGAGGCTAGTATCGTCGCTGTAGGCACCTCTCGTGGCGACCCCCGCGGCCCCTTCTTCGAGGGGTGCTCCCCTTCCCCCCTCCTCCCCTCTGTCGCCTCTGCTGCTGCTGTCGACCTCCTTGGTGCTGAGAAGGTCGGAGCTGCGTCTGCTTCAGGCGGACGACGCAGGGGCAGGAGTGGCAGGAGTGGGGGTGGTGGCGGAGGAGGCGGGGGTGGAGGTGGTGGCGGTGGAGGTGCGACTGGAGAGGCTAGTGGCGGCAGTGGTGGAGGTGACAGCGGCGTTGGGAGTGGTGACAGGGGCGGAGGTGGCAGCGGAGGCGGAGGTGGTCGTGGCAGCGGCAGGGGTGGAGGTGGCCGGGGCGGAGGCGGCGGGGGTGGTGGTCGTGGAGGCCCGGGGGGCGGTCAGAGTCAGCAGCCTGCCCCGACCCTTCAGGCCGCCCGTGAGTGGTATGCGCGGCGCAGCGTCACCTGCCAGTACGTTATTCGTACAGGTGACCGCACTGGCCAGACGTGTGGGGGGCCGCACCAGACGGAGCGCTGCTTCGCCCGCCTCAACGATGCGTGGCGCACCCAGTTTCCTGGTGGGGGTGAGCTGCCGCGCTGGGCTGAGCTGCTCAGGAAGGGTGTTGATATTTGGGCACTAGACTTTGATGCTATTCTCACTGCCATGTATGCCATGTCTATTAGTGGAGAGGGTGCTCAGTACTTGCGTGTTCCGCCCGACCCGGGCATTCAGGCCAGCCCCGCTGCTGCTCTAGGTGCTAGTGTGTCTGCTTCCACAGGTACTACTGCAGCTGCTGCTCTAGGTGCTTGTGCGTCTGTGCCCCCTGGTACTGAGTCGACTGCAGCACTGCACACCTTCACACTGGACTCAGGTGCTTCTCGCTCTTTCTTTCGTGACCGCACTGTCCTTGAGCCTCTAGCTCGGCCGGTTGCTGTCTCTCTTGCTGACCCCTCTGGGGGTCCGGTCCTTGCGACCTCCTCCACCACCCTTCCGTGTCCAGCGGTTCCGTCCGGCACGCTCTCAGGTCTCTACCTCCCCTCGTTCTCCACGAACTTGGTGGCAGGTAGTGCGCTCCAGGACGGGGGTGTTCACCAGTTCACCCCTGCCTACGAGCGTGTGACTCACTGCACGTGTGCTCGGACGGGCCGCCACCTAGCTACTTTCACTCGAGAGCCGGGGTCTGACCTGTACACACTGACCACTGAGTCCCCTCAGGTAGCTGCGTCTGCGTCAGCGTCAGGTCAGCTGTCCGCCCCCTGCTCGTGTCGCTCTCTGGCGAACGACACCGTCCTCTGGCACCACCGCCTTGGTCACCCGTCTGTGCAGCGCCTGCGGGCCATGCACAAACGGGACCTTGTTGCTGGTCTTCCCAGGGTGCTCCCTCCCCTTCCTGACTCCCCTGCTCCTGACTGCATTCCCTGTGTCGAGGGGCGGCAGCGCGCCGCTCCTCACTCCTCCTCCTTTCCCCCGACGACCGCTCCCCTGCAGACGCTCCACATGGACGTGTGGGGCCCAGCCCGCGTCCGTGGTCAGGGTCAGGAGAGGTACTTCCTGATAGTTGTTGACGACTACTCGCGCTACACCACGGTCTTCCCCTTGCGCGCCAAGGGTGACGTCCCTGGTGTTTTGATCCCCTGGATCAGCCGAGCCCGTCTCCAGCTAGGCGAGCGCTTTCACTCGGACTTTCCTGTCCTGCGCTTGCACTCTGACAGAGGTGGTGAGTTTGCCTCCGACCTCTTGGCAGCCTACTGTGCTGAGCACGGCATTGAGCAGTCGTTCACGCTTCCGGCCTCTCCACAGCAGAATGGGGTCGCTGAGCGCCGCATTGGCTTGGTCATGGAGGTCGCTCGTACCTCCCTGACCCATGCGGCTGCTCCCCACTTTCTGTGGCCGTTTGCGGTCCGGTACGCAGCGCATCAGCTCAACCTCTGGCCCCGTGTCTCCTTGCCGGAGACTTCCCCGACTCTACGGTGGACGGGAGAGGTTGGCGATGCGTCGCGTTTCCGGGTCTGGGGATCTCGAGCTTTTGTCCGCGACACGTCCGCGGACAAGCTCTCGCGTCGCGCTGTTCCCTGTGTCTTTCTTGGCTTTGTTCCCGACGCGCCTGGATGGCAGTTTTACCACGTCACCTCGCGCCGGGTTCTGGCCTCTCAGGACGTCACTTTTGACGAGTCCGTCCCCTTCTACCGCCTCTTCCCCTACCGCACTGCCCCGCTCCCCCCCCCCCTCTCTTCCTCGCTCCAGGTGCTGAGGTACCAGACCCCCTCCCCCCTCAGGGTGCCGCTCCCTCAGGTGTGTCCCAGGTAGACCCAGGTGAGCCTGTCGAGGTAGCTGTTGACTCGCGTCCTGCGTCTGGGGGTGCTGAGCCTGGGAGTACTGCGTCTGAGGGTGCGGAGCCTGGGGGTGCTGAGCCTGGAGGTGCGGAGCCTGGGGGTGCTGAGCCTGGAGGTGCGGAGCCTGGAGGTGCGGAGCCTGGAGGTGCGGAGCCTGGAGGTACTGAGCCTGGGGGTGCTGAGTCTAGGGGTGCTGAGTCTGGGGGTGCTGAGTCTGGGGGTGCTGAGCCTGAGCGTGCTCCACCTGGAGGAGCCCCCTCCTCCCAGCAGCTGCAGGAGAGGTACCTCGAGTACTGCCGCCTCCGGAGAGGTGCTTCTGGAGCTCGTCCCGGTACTTCCCCTCCTACCCAGGAGCTCCCCCCCATTCAGGTGATCCGCGAGTGGTACACGCGGCGCTGCAGTCTTCGTAGTGGTGCTCCTGGTGCTGCGGACCCGAGCGGTGGTGTTGTTGCTGGTGCTGAGGACCCGGACGCTGGAGCTGCTGCTGGTGCTGAGGACCCGGGGGCTGGAGCTGCTGCTGGTGCTGAGGACCCGGGCGTTGGAGCTGCTGCTGGTGCTGAGGACCCGACCGGTGGCGCTGCTGCTGGTGCTGAGGACCTGACCAGTGGCCCTGCTGCTGGTGCTGAGGACCCGGGCGTTGGAGCTGCTGCTGGTGCTGAGGACCCGACCGGTGGCGCTGCTGCTGGTGCTGAGGACCTGACCAGTGGCCCTGCTGCTGGTGCTGAGGACCCGGGCGTTGGAGCTCCTACTGGTGCTGAGGACCCGGGCGCTGGAGCTGCTGCTGGTACTGAGGACTCGGGCGTTGGGGCTGCCACTGGTGTCCCTGCTGCTTCTCAAGACGCTGCGCGGCCGCGACCGTACTTCGTACCGCTCCTTCAGCAGGTTCTTGGTCAGGCTCCTCCTCCTAGTCCTCCTCCCTCAGTCGAGTGTCCTCTGCCTGTCCAGCCGCAGTCACAGTTACCGCCTGCCTCGCCTCTCCCTGCTCCCTCTCCTTACGCTGGTCCCACAGGAGGTCTTACAGAGCGTCGTGAGCCTGAGTCTCGTCCTGCGTCGCCTGTTCGTACTGCTCGCACTGGTCGTCGTGTCCCACGTGAGCGTCCTCCTCCTGTCCCTGGCACTCACTACATGACTCTGCGTCCCTCCACTGCTCCGCAGCGTGTCCCGCTGCCGTCTCCTCCTGCGTCCTCTCTTCCTACTCTTCCTGACCCGGAGTCTGACTCCCGTCGTGCTGCCAGTCCCACTGTTACGCGTCTCCTCGCTACAGTTGTCACTGACCCGACCTTTGAGTCCTCTGCTGCGTCTGCTCTGGTCGCTGAGTTGGTTGACTTTGCTGCTCGCTGTCGCCTAGACTACGCTGCCAGCCTTGTCGCTAGGTCTGAGTCTGCGTCTGCCTGTCCTCCGTCCGTCGGGGGTGAGTGTGCCCTCGGCACGGACGTCCTTGAGGACAGACAGGAGGAGTTCCACTGCCTTGCTGCTGCTTTGCCCCGTCTCGTGTCCTTGCTAGTTGCCCCTGAGGGAGACCCGGATGCACCAGACATCCCGACCCCACGCTCTTACGCTGAGGCGATGGCGGGTCCCTACTCCTCTCAGTGGCAGACAGCCATGGACGCAGAGATGGCCTCCTGGAAGTCCACAGGCACCTACGTAGACGAGGTTCCCCCTCCTGGGGCGAACATCGTCAGTGGCATGTGGATTTTCAGGGTGAAGCGGCCGCCGGGTTCTCCACCTGTCTTCAAGGCGCGCTACGTGGCTCGAGGCTTCAGTCAGCGAGAGGGAGTAGACTTCTTTCAGACCTTCTCCCCCACCCCGAAGATGACTACTCTTCGGGTGCTGCTGCACATAGCCGCTCACCGCGACTACGAGCTTCACTCTCTTGATTTCAGCACTGCTTTCTTGCAGGGCAGCCTGCACGAGGAGATCTGGCTGCGCCGCCCCCCTGGCTTCACTGGGTCAGTTCCTCCTGGCACCCAGTGGAGACTTCAGCGGCCGGTCTACGGTCTCCGCCAGGCACCACGTGAGTGGCACGACACACTGAGGACGACACTTGCGGCTCTTGGGTTCGCTCCCTCTACTGCTGACCCGTCGCTGTTTCTACGCACCGACACCTCGCTGCCGCCGTTCTACATCCTCGTGTACGTCGACGACTTGGTCTTTGCCACTGCTGACACCGCGGCACTCGCTCACGTGAAGTCGGAGCTGCAGAGGAGACACACGTGCACAGACCTGGGTGAGCTGACGAGCTATCTTGGCTTGCGGATCACCCGGGACAGAGCACGGCGCACCATCACCCTGACTCAGTCACACATGGTGCAGCAGGTTCTCCAGCGCTTCCGCTTCACGTACTCCTCGCCTCAGTCCACTCCTCTGCCTACCGGTCACTCGCTCTCAGCTCTGCCTTCGGATGAGTCCGTAGAGCCGAGTGGCCCGTATCCAGAGCTTGTGGGCTGCCTCATGTACCTGATGACCTGCACTCGACCTGACCTTGCATACCCTCTTAGCATCCTAGCACGCTATGTCGCTCCTGGCCGTCACCGGAAGGAGCACATGGATGCTGCTAAGAGGGTGTTGCGCTACTTGTGCAGTACGTCGGGCATGGGGCTTGTGCTTGGAGGGCGAGACCGGGTTGTTCTCACAGGGCACTCAGATGCTTCTTGGGCAGACGACCAGGCTACTCAGCGGTCGTCCCAGGGTTACACCTTCAGCCTTGGCTCTGGCTCAGTTTCTTGGCGTTCTACTCGCTCTTCTTCTGTTCTCAGCTCCAGTTGTGAGGCTGAGATCTACGCCACAGCCATGGCTGCTCAGGAGCTACGCTGGCTGACCTACCTGCTGACCGACCTCGGAGAGCGGCCTCGTTCTCCTCCAGTGCTGTACGTCGACAACAAGGCTGCCATTGCCTTGTGTAAGGAGCACAGACTGGAGCACAGAACGAAGCACATCGCTCTGCGGTACTTCCTTGCTCGAGAGCTGCAGCAGCGTGGTCAGCTTTGTCTGCGTTACGTGGCCACGGAGGCCAACACTGCTGATGTGTTCACCAAGGCGCTTCAGCCTTGTGACCATCAGCGCTTTTGCACTCTGCTAGGCCTTGTACCTACTGGGCCTCACTTACTTACCTCTTGACCTTGCTTGTACTGTGATCACTATATATATATGCCTACTTGTTTACTTTTGCTAGGTTGTGATCACTGTATCTCTTGCTTTGTTATAAACCTGCATGTGAACTGGTCTTGTGACCACTTGCTTGTGCTCGGAATTTGTGTGGAATCCTTGAGATCCACCCTGAGCTTGCTTTGCTTTGCTTTGACTGGTCTTGTGACCCTGTGGCTGTCTCCCACTGCGCCTATGGGGGTGTGTCAAACATTGTATGTTTATATTGTGTAGGCTGTAGTGGGTTACACCTTAGGGGGTACACAAAGTTAGGGTTTCCTACTTGTACCAAACTCTGTGCTAGTTCAATTCATTCCTGCTCAGTTATTTCTGACAGGGGCGGTACTTGTCGCGGGCTCAACTGAAGTTATTAGGAGCGGGAAACTGACCGCAGGGTATTTCGGACTAAGGCAAAGATGATCGTGCATGGCGGTCCAGGATTTGAACAACTTCGCTTCACATTTTATACCGGTGCGGGTTTCGTAGCTTTCTGGCCTCACGAACGCCCTTATAGGGGGGGCGGTACTTGTCGTGGCGGGCTCGTCTGAAGTTATTAGGAGCTGGAAACTGACCGCAGGGTACTTAGGACTGTGGCAAAGATGATCGTGCATGGCGGTCCAGGATTTGAACAACTTCGCTTCACATTTTATACCGGTGCGGATTTCGTAGCTTTCTGGCCTCACGAACGCCCTTATAAAGGGGGCGGTTCTTGTCGCAGCAGGCTCGTTTGAAGTTATTAGGAGCTGGAAACTAACCGCAGGGTACTTAGGACTATGAAAAAGATGATTGTGCATGGCGGTCCAGGATTTGAACAACTTCGCTTCACATTTTATACCGATTTGGATTTCGTAGCTTTCTGGCCTTACGAATGCCCTTATAGGGGGGGCGGTACTTGTCGCGGCGGGCTCGTCTGAAGTTATTAGGAGCTGGAAACTGACCGCATGGTACTTAGGACTGTGAAAAAGATGATCGTGCATGGCGGTCCAGGATTTGAACAACTTCGCTTCACATTTTATACCGGTGCCGATTTCGTAGCTTTCTGGCCTCACGAACGCCCTTATAGGGGGGCGGTTCTTGTTGCGGCGGGCTCTTCTGAACTTATTAGGAGCTGGAAACTAACCGCAGGGTACTTAAGACTGTGGCAAAGATGATTGTGCATGGCGGTCCAGGATTTGAACAACTTCGCTTCACATTTTATACCGGTGCGGATTTCATAGCTTTCTGGCCTCACGAACGCCCTTATAGGGGGGGCGGCACTTGTCGCGGCGGGCTCGTCTGAAGTTAATAGAAGCTGAAAACTGAACAGAGGGTACTTCGGACTGTGGCAAAGACGATCGTGCATGGCGGTCCAGGATTTGAACAACTTCGCTTCACATTTTATACCGGTGCGGATTTCACAGCTTTCTGGCCTCACGAACGCCCTTATAGGGGGGCGGTTCTTGTTGCGGCGGGCTCGTCTGAAGTTATAAGGAGTTGGAAACTGACCGCAGGGTACTTAAGACTGTGGCAAAGATGATCGTGCATGGCGGTCCAGGATTTGAACAACTTCGCTTCACATTTTATACCGGTGCGGATTTCGTAGCTTTCTGGCCTCACGAACGCCCTTATAAGGGGAACGATTCTTGTCGCGGCGTGCTCGTTTGAAGTTATTAGGAGCTGGAATCTAACCGCAGGGTACTTAGGACTGTGGCAAAGATGATCGTGCATGGCGGTCCAGGATTTGAACAACTTCGCTTCACATTTTATACCGGTGCGGATTTCGTAGCTTTCTGGCCTCACGAACGCCCTTATAAGGGGGGCGATTCTTGTCGAGGCGGCCTCGTTCGAAGTTATTAGGAGCTGGCATCTAACCGCAGGGTACTTAGGACTCTGGCAAAGATGATCGTGCATGGCGATTCAGGATTTGAACAAATTCGCTTCACATTTTATACCGGTGCGGATTTCGTAGCTTTCTGGCCTCACGAACGCCCTTATAGAGGGGCCGGTACTTGTCGCGGCGGGCTCGTCTGAAGTTATTAGGAGCTGCAAACTAACCCCAGGGTATTTAGGACCGTGGCAACGATGATCGTGCATGGCGGTCCAGGATTTGAACAACTTCGCTTCACATTTTATACCGGTGCTGATTTCCCAGCTTTCTGGCCTCACGAACGCCCTTATAGGGGGGGGCGGTACTTGTCGCGGCGGGCTCGTCTGAAGTTATTAGGAGCTGCAAACTAACTGCAGGGTACTTAGGACTGTGGCAAAGATGATCGTGCATGGCGGTCCAGGATTTGAACAACTTCGCTTCACATTTTATACCGATGCAGATTTTGTAGCTTTCTGGCCTCACGATTGCCCTTATAGGGGGGGCGGTACTTGTCGCGGCGGGCTCGTCTGAAGTTAATAGAAGTTGGAAACTGAACGGAGGGTACTTAGGACTGTGACAAAGATGATCATGTATGGCGATCCCGGATTTGAACAACTTCGCTTCACATTTTATACCGGTGCGGATTTCACAGCTTTCTGGCCTCACGAACGCCCTTATAAGGGGGGCGATTCTTGTCGCGGCGGGCTCGTTTGAAGTAATTAGGAGCTGGAATCTAACCGCAGTTTGCTTAGGACTGTGGCAAAGATGATCGTGCATGGCGGTCCAGGATTTGAACAACTTCGCTTCACATTTTATACCGGTGCGGATTTCGTAGCTTTCTGGCCTCACGAACGCCCTTATAAGGGGGGCGATTCTTGTCGCGGCGCTGACGGTAGACCTATTGACTTCTCCGTCTGGCTTCTTCGCGCTCGCCGTCTGTTAGAGAGTCAAGTCCAGGGGGGCGAGACCCTCTGGTCGCACGCTACTGGTGACCTCCCCGAGCCCCCCGAGCCTGCCGCTTTAGGTCCTGCCCCTGACGATGCTGCTACGGCTCGCTTTGCCCGTCAGCGCGCTGACAGGACGGCTTGGACGTCGCGTGACGCTGCGGCCTGCATCGCACTCAGCAGCCTCCTCCCTGAGTCAGAGGAGGTCCACTTCACTCAGGTTCGCACCGCTGCTGCGTACCTCACTGCGATTAAGGCCCGCTACTCTACTCCCGCTACTGTCTCTCTTGGCCGTCTTTTCCTCCCGTTCCTGTTTCCTGATCTCGCCTCGTTTGAGCGCTCTGCTGACTTGATCGCTCACCTCCGCTCGCTCGACGCTAGTTACCGCGCTGCTTGCACTGAGGCACAGCTTGCACTGCTTCCTCCCCCTATGGCGATTACTATCTATTTCATCGCCACTAGCCTCCCTGACCGCCTTGCCTCCGTTCGCGACGCGCTTCTGCTGAAGCACCCTAGTGAGCTCACCGTCGATGTCCTTGAGTCTGCACTCAAGGACGTCGAGAGCAACCTTCGCTCGGTAGCCGCTGCCTCTGGTGCTGTGCCCCCCCCACTCTTCCACGGGTGCACAGTCCCGCAGTTACCCACCTTTACTGCCTCACTTGCCACTGCCGCTACTGACGCGACTGCAGCTGCTGTTACGACTGCGTCGCGGTCCCGCGGTAGGAGTGGCAAGAAAGGCGGTTCTGGTGGTGGTAGTGGAGGTGGAGGCGGAGGTAGTGGAGGTGGCGTTGCGCCTGGCGGCGGTGGAGGTTCAGGGCCTGGAGAGGCGCCTCGTGCAGTGACTGGTGACTCCACTGCGCCTGCTAGTGGTGGCGACGCCCGAGTTCGTCAGTCGCCTCCTGTACTTCCTGCCCCGGTTGGTGGAGCAGCGGCGTGGTACCAGGCTCAGCGTCAGCAGCAGCTTCTGCAGCACCAGCAGCCCCTCTCCTCCCAGCACCTCTCCTGAAGTAATTAGGAGCTGGAATCTAACCGCAGTTTACTTAGGACTGTGGCAAAGATGATCGTGCATGGCGGTCCAGGATTTGAACAACTTCGCTTCACATTTTATACCGGTGCCGATTTCGTAGCTTTCTGGCCTCACGAACGGGGGTGGCGGTTCTTGTCGTGACGGGCTCGTTTGAAGTTATTAGGAGCTGGAAACTAACCGCAGGGTACTTAGGACTGTGGCAAAGATAATAAGAATACTAGGTTCTAACCTTTTCGATCCACATAATTTGGGAGATTTCAGAGTTTCAGCTACGCCTTGTACCTGCACACAAGCGTGCATAGTGACCGAACCGACCAACACATTATATTCTATGTAGAAAAACAACGAGTATCACATATGTTTCTGTTTTCCAATATATTATACCATTCCCCACCCCCCCACCACGTTCTAACCTTTTAGATCTACATAATTTGACAGATATAGACATTCCAAACGTGCATGGTACCTGTACTACAGGCGCGGATTCTGACCAAACTGACCAGCGCATTACTTATAATTGCCAAGACATTTTGTACTATTTTCTTGCCAGCCTACAAGATTAGGCCTTGTATTTCAATAATACTAGGTTCTAACCTTTTTGATCCACATAATTTGGGAGATTTCAGAGTTAAAGCTACGCCTTGCACCTGCACACAAGCGTGCATACCGACCGAACCGACCAACGCATTATTTTCTATGTAGAAATACAACGAGTATCACATATGTTTCCATTTTCCTATATAATATACCATTCCCCACCCCCCCACCACGTTCTAACCTTTTAGATCCACATAATTTGACAGATATAGACATTCCAAACGTGCATGATACTTGTACTACAGGCGCGCATTCTGACCAAACTGACCAGCGCATTACTTATATTTGCAGAGACATTTAGTACCATTTTCTTGCCAGTCTACTAGATTATGCCTTGTATTTTAATAATACTAGGTTCTAACATTTTCAATCCACATAATTTGGGAGATTTCAGAGTTTCATCTACGCCTTGTACCTGCACACAAGCGTGCATACTGACCATACCGACCAACATATTATTTTCTATGTAGAAATACAACGAGTATCACATATGTTTCCATTTTCCTATATAATATACCATTCCCCACCCTCCCATTCCGTTCTAACCTTTTAGATCCAC